GCTGTGAGTAAAGTGCCTCAGTTGATCTGGGGTTGGGAATTTCAGGGGTTGGAATATCCAGGGCCGGACTCCCCTTTCCCTTCTCACACATGCAGAAGGTCTTGTTGTAACTGCCATTGCACAAGGGAGACAAGGTGGAATTTCCTAGTAAGAGAGGCACAGCTCACTCCCCTTGTGCTGTCCTTCTGCCGACAGGCAGAACCATTTATATTCAAGCAGATACGTCCACAAGTTTGTTGGGTTGGATGCTGCTTTGATTCCTATGGTTGCCTTTTCCACGGTGCTTTAATGAACTTATTTTATGATTGCTTTAAGATAGTTGTATTTAAGATGACAAGCTCACCCCCCCCCCCCGGCCCCAGCGAGCCTTCTCTTGATCGAAAGGCAAGGTGCACGTCAAGTCAATACATAGTGTGCATCTTTATCCCTGGCCAGCTGCCATGCTCCAGTGCCTACCTGTGTATGCAGTTGCGTATGGCTCTGTGGCCCTGGTCCCCCCCCCCGTCCACCCCCCAGAAACATTGTTGGCTCTTGGAGATCTCCTTTTCCCATCACAGCCCTCCCCCACCACCAGAAAATCAACTTGGAGGCAGACTCCCTGATCTCTTTTCTCATGTACTCTTTCCTCCTCAGGGTCAAGAGCAGCACAAATTAGTTCTGCAGATAGCAGAATCTAGCTATGGACAGCAATGACTGGCCGGCACTGGAGGCATCACAAACACCATCACTTCCTCTCCTTGCCCAAATTGAACTGCAATGTTTTGCAAACTGTCTTTGTGTATCGTCTTCAAATACAGCAATGAATGAACTTTTAAATGAATAAAGAGATATGTTACAGATTTCCTCCAAACATTTGTACACAATCTTTGCTCCTGTGGTTGTAGAATCAAGCTACAAGCCAAAAGAAAAAAAAAAGCAAAGCGAAGCAAAGCACGACCTTTTTCAGTAGATTTCTATCTGTCCTACAGTCTTGAAATAGATTGTATAACCTTTCAGATGTTCAACTCCTTCATAAGGTCTACTGCAGGTGAGCGTAACCTGTGGACCCCT